GGTTCTGTGAGGACCCTCTTTCTGGCTTGCAGACAGTTGCCCTCTCTGTGTGTCCTCACAGGACAGAGAGTGAAGGACAGTGAGCTCTCTGGTATTCTTTCCTTGCCATGCTGAATTCCCTTTAATTAAGTACAAAGACTTCTCCAACATGTCACCTAGAAAGCATTTCATCCACGGCTCTGTTTGGCCGCCAGTCTCTCATCTCTCTCCTCAGCAATGGTGCGACTGTTACCTTTTCCTCTTAAGAGTCCTGTAATCCCAGCACTTTGGGAGGCTGAGGTGAGTGGATTGCCTGAGCCCGCGGGTTCAAGACCCATCTGGGCAACTTGGCGAGACCTCATCTCTACAATAATTCAAAAGTTTGCCGGGCGTGGTAGTGCACACCTGTAGTTCCAGCTACTTGGAAGGTTGAGGCGGAAGGATCGCCGGAGCCCAGCAGGTCGAGGCTGCGGTGGCCGGGAGCGGCCACTGCACTCCAGTCTGGGCGACAGAGTGAGACTCCAACTCAAAAAAAAAAAAAAAGAGTCCACTAATCCCATCAGATAAGGGCTCCACCCTGTGATCTCATTTAATCTTAATTACTTCCCTAGAGATTCCATTTCCAAATAGAGCCACATTGGCAGTTGGGGCTTCATCACATGAGTTGGCAGAGGACACAAACTTTCAGTACATAACAATGCCCCATTGGCCTTCAGTCACCACAGAATACATAGTTACAGAAGTGGACAGACTGTAGCTTTTGCCAATACTATTCTCTATTTTGTATCAATATAATTATCTATTATTAGTGAAATGCTACTAATAATAGATAATAGTTAGCAATTTGTTGCTACATGCCTGACCACTGTTATAGCATCTGCTATATCTGATTTCTAATCTTCACAGCAACCCTGTACTATTGCATCTATATCTTTTTAGATGAGGAAACTGGGGCTCAGAAAGGTTAAATAACTTGATCACGGTCACACACTAAATAAATAGAAGAGCCAGAATTCTAACCCATGTTTAAGTGACACTGAGGTCAGGATGGGCAGTTCCTCAGTCCCTCTTTGACATTATCTTCAAAGAGTAGCTTCTAAATTTGGTTGAAATATATTCCCAGAATTCCAGTCATACTGAAATACAGATTTAACAATCCAGGTGTATGACTGTAATCTCAGCATCTTGGGAGATGGATCGAGGCAGTCACTTGAGGCCAGGAGTTCAACATCTGCCTGGCAAAATTGCAAAACCCTGTTTCTACAAAAATATTTTTAAAAGTTAGCCAGGCGTGGTGGCACATACCTATAGTCCCAGCTACTCAGGAGGCTGAGGTGGGAGGATCGCTTGAACCCAGGAGTTTGAGACTGCAGTGAACTATGATAGCACCACTGTACTCCAGTCTGGGCGGCAGAGTGAGACCTTGTCTCTAAAAACAAACAGTAAACAATGCTGCTATGAGCACTTACACTGTTAACCATATCCAGTGTCCTCCCCTTTCTGAACCTTCTGGAGCTGACTGCAGATCTACTTTCCACAGCGGACACTTGCTCAGCAGCTACTTAAGAATACCATGTTTTACTTAGAGACAATTACAGCTCACCCTTGTTCATGCCTTAAACCAGGGCACTCTGGGCATCGGTCATCCTGGTCTGAGGTACAGGCCCAGGGGCCCTTCTTCCTGCCTGAACCATCTCTCTTAGGGACAGGGGAAGAGAGGCGCATCCATTGTTCGTCTCACCTTCCCTGTTGAGCTGGGGTCAGGGTTGGAAGTACATCAGGACAGTGCAGGCATCTCTCAGCATTCCAAGTGCCTGCATGGTTCAGACAAGCACTGAAGAGTGAAGGAAATAAGGAGATACAGATACTCCTTGAGGGGGAGGTCTGTGGGGGATGATGGATGGGCCATGGGTCTTTGGGGATAAAAGCCTGTGCCCCCATTTAAATTGCAGGGCGGCAGCCCACAGCCCAATAGATTTTCTTTAAGGCTCTCTATAGGCCCAGTTGTCTGATTTTCTGGATTTTTTTTTCCAAGTCAGAAATGTAGATATTTTGGGTGTCATGTTCAGATTTCTAAAAAAACTATGTTGGCTCAAACTATTTTTAAACCTGCTGACTGGCTGACTTTGGCCACAGATAGTCAGTTTACAACCCTTGTTTGTGAGGTGATGTTCACAGGGCTCCCTCCTCTCCTCTCTGCCTTCTTCTTACCTTAGTCTTCCCCTTCTTTACTCCTCTGAACTACCTCCCCCCCCCCTTTTATCCTTTGAAACATTTTAAAATCATGCTATATGTCAATTTCTGGTCTCACACATAAAGGCTTTCTCTATGCCTTGAGAATATTTATTTTTGTCCAAAGATTTCTAACTCTATTTTATTCCCCTCTCTTGGGCTCACTGGATTGAGTCCCTCCCACTGTCTCTTTGTCATTTTTTTCCTGGCAGCTTTTAAAATTTACCTGATCCCCTTAACCTATAACTTCTCCTTATTTTGCCTCTATTACCGATACTGTTTATTTCAGACTCAACATCCTTGTTTCTCCAGGATGAATCATCTGCTTTTACCAACAGCAATATCCCAAGAGTAATGACCACCTTCTTGCTTTCATCCCTAAACCACAGTCTATACCATCTCTCAGGTGGGGAAGTCTCAGTTGGGGTCCACAACAGTGTCACCAAGAGTCCTATCTCTTTTTCATGGGGTTAAGGCAATTTTTGTGCACCTGGGTGGGAGAGAACAAGGGAAAGAACAAGGGTGGAAATGAGAAGCCCTGGTCTGATCTGAGAGTCCCACAGAGCTGAGCAGTGCAGTCTGTGCATCAAGCCTGAGCCCACATTTATCTGCTTTTTTGTGTGTGTGAGTTGGGTCTCATACAGTCACCCGGGCTGGAGTGCAGTGGCACAATCATGGCTCACTGCAGCCTCAAACTCCTGGGTTCAAGCGATCCTCTAGCCTCAGTCTCTCAAGTGGCTGGGACTACAAGCGTGTGCCACTATGCTAGCTAATTTTTTGTAGAGACAAGGTCTCACTATGTTGCCTAGGCTGGGCTGGAGCTCCTGGGCGCAAGCGATCATCCCATCTAGGCCTCCCAAAGTGCTGGGATTATAGGCATGAGCCACTATGCCTGGCCACATTTACCTGCTTTTATTTAGGGCTGAGCTGTTGCCACAGGAAACAGAAATAGCCAGACTTTCACTCAACCCTGCACACACCAACCAGCATGAACCACTGTGAGGTGCACAAACCTCACTTGTTTTCAGAGGAGAATTAACATCAGTGGCAGCATCAAGAGCCCTGGCAGAGAGGGCACAGGGCTCCCAGAGCTCTGTATGTCCACCTTGTTGGTAAGTCAAGGAGGTCAGCATTCCTGAGCACTTTTCTCAGAGCATAAATCAACTCTGTAGTTCCATCTACTTGGAAGGCTGAGGTGGAAGGATCACCTAAGCCCAGCAGGTCGAGGCTGTGGTGGCCATGAGTGTGCCACTACTCCAGCCTGGGCAACAGAGGGAGACTCCAACTCAAAAAAAGAAAAAAATGAAATCAACTCTCAAGCTGCATGGTCCAGTCAGCAGCCACAACAAATGGAACCGTGACATAACACTGAGAGCCTCCGTGTCTAACATTGGCCCGTTCTAGGAGCTTTTTAGACTGGGAGATAATGAGGATGCACATCACCAGTGCAGCCTGAGAGATGGCAAACAGAGACTCACAGGCTCGCTGCTGCTGCAAGTATAGGAGCAGTGAATGTGGCCTTCTCTAGAGGAGAGACCTGGGGGCCATGACCTTAGGGCTGTTTCATTGCTCCCAGCTTTCCCCCATGCAGAGCCCTCACTGCATCGGACATCCTGCCGTTTCCATGAAGTGAGACCAGCTCACTCTGACCTGCTCCTTTGCAGAATGGCTTACGCTCAGATACAAGCCAATGGCTCATGCCCAGACACAGTCCACAGATGCCGGGGGAACAATGAATCCAAACAGACAATTGCTCTGCTATCTGGGCTCCTCCAAGGAGCACTGCCAGTCCCCCGTGAGGGCCTGACCTGAGCCCACCAGCCTCACTCGCCATCTTCATGGCTTAATGTGAACCCCATTTGAAGGAAATTCAAACCAAGGGTAGAGAGGAGTAGGAAGAAAGCCCTGTGCAGGGGGTGGGGCCACCTGTGCCCCAGCCTGCCTCCACCCAGAACAGGTCACGTGACATGGATAGGCCATCTTGCCTCCTGAGCCCTCGGGTCCCTCGGTCTGCCTGAGTTCTCGGGTCCCTGCTAGCCCCCACAGCCTCTGAAATGAGAAATGCAGAGAGGAGCAGAGCTGGCTGGTGGCATTGGCGTTCTGCAGTCACTCTGAGACAGAACATCAAAGCCTAGCACCTGTGAGTGGGACAAAAGAAGAATGGAGGGCTCCTTTTCCTTTTCATTTCTTTCTTTCTTTCTTTCTTTTTTTTAAGCTCTTGCAAACTTATCACTGGGTTCAGAACACATTGTTCTCTGACTGCCAAAATAGCCGGAGCAGGAGCAGAAGCCTCCATTGGCGGTGGAGTGAACTCCTCATCATTTTGTTTTCACCGTCCTTGCCTTGGGAAAGCCAGCGAATGCTTTACTCTGTGAAAGCAACCTTCACACAAGAAAGGGAAGATTAATGAAAGCTCCCGGGTAAACAGAATAGCATTTATGGAACAATTCAGCCCATCACCGCGCATGCCAAGAGCTCTTGTCAGGGAAGCAGGGCATCGCTTCCTCAGCAGGACTGGGTTTGGTTAAGGGGATTCGATCTTCAAGAGCAGGGGAATGGTGTGAGTTTACACAAGCTCCTCCAGCTAGTGGACATTCATCTTTCCTGAGAGGAGATAATTCAGTTACCAACATGAAAAGGCTTTCTTCCTGGTATTTCTGTTGGTGTGCAGATTGAGTAGAGGAAGAGGCCTTAAAGTATGCTCTGGTTGCAATCATTTATTCTAATTTAGTAGTACTTTTTTAAAAAAAGCAATTTAAAAAATAAGATTATTCTGAAAGTTTACTTACGGTTTTCTCTCAGGTTCTTCTTTAAATGCAGAAACACTTCCCAAGGGCCGTGAGTCTTGATATATAGCAGGAAAAAAAGGAACCAGAAGTGACAAGAGAGTCACATTGCCATGAATCAATCTCTTTATTTCCATCACATAGTGACTAAGTCATTTAATGTCAACAAAGGGTGAAACCAATACAAAGGAACAGCATATTCCTTTCTAGCATTTTCCTCAGAATAAGTGTTCTAGAAATCAGTTCTAGAAAACAATGAAATAAGGGTATTTTCAAACACAAGGGAGTGAGCTGTGAAAGCTTGGAAGATCTCCCTCTTTCCTCCTCTCTCTCACTCTCACACCCCCAACTCCCTCCTGGATCATGGGAAAATGACAAGCACTGGTCACACCCACCTCCCATCCACACTTGAAGAGACTAAAGCATGTAGAAACTGCCTTTGCACAGATGACCCCAGACAGGTCTAATAATTCGTGTCATGCTCTCCATCATGTATGGGACTTTCCATCTTAGAAATTTAGCTTCCAAGTTAAGAGGACCAACCTATGACTTTTCAAGGAATTAAGAAAGCTTCAAAACTTTTCTACAAAAGCATTCTTTACTCTTTGATTGAGACTCATATTATGTCTGCAAAAGTTTTTTTTTTTTAAAGCTTTTATTTTTATAAAAAAGAAGGATTGGAATCAACCCTTAGGCTCAGGCTGGACACAACCTGCACGACCCTTCAAGGATCTTCCAGTAAGGGGCTGACTTTGTCTTGAAAATGCAGAGAGCCATTGAAATGAGATGTTTTCATCTGAACAAGGAGGACTAGACTGCAGTGTGGATGTCTGGCTGGGTAGTCCAGAGCAACAGTGGTAGACCCAAGACTGGGATGAGTCAGAAGGTGGAGAGGAAGGAGGAGGCAGTTGGGATCATGGCAATGGAAAGAAGAATGAGGCTCAGAAAATTATCCTCAACTTTGGCGACTGGGAAGTCATGGATGCTTCTGGAAGAAGTGAGTGGGGGCAGGAACTGTTCTTCAGTGGGCTAGGGAGCGAATCGAAGAGGAGAGGAGCAAGGGTTGCTTTGTGGAAGTGTTGGGGATGGAAATGGAGAAAGAAAAAACAGCAGTAAAGATGAAGTCATTTGTGTTTGGAAAAACTAGAGAAAATTCAGCACATCAGTCTTGCAAAGGAGAAAGGACAGGAGGAGAGAAGGTATTGGTACTCTTTGAAGAGGAAGGGAGCAAAGATGAGGATGGTTTCAGCCCTCTTGGGGAAGGAAAAGATGAAGCCCTGTGCTCAGAGAAAGGGGCAGGGAGACCGACATTTGCTAATGGAAGGCAAATCTGGGAGCAGCTGCCAGAAGAAAACCCTGGAAAGAGGAAACTGTTGGTCTCCCCCAGGGACTGGAAGTGGAGCCAATGACATGGTTTTGAGAAATTTCCAGGCTTTGGAGTGTGCGGGGGGCCAGCCCCTGCAAGTTTTGGGGAGTCCCTTGGAAGATGTGGTGGCGTCGGCGAATCTGTAGGGATAGATATTAAAGAAAGATGGAAGGATAGATATAAAGAGGAAGAAAGAGAAAGAAAGAAAGTGGACAACTGTTCAGTGAAATGAGCAGAAGCCGTTTATTGAAAGTTACAGCAGGTATTTATCCCCAAATTTTACACAGGCAGTCTCACAAGTCTTTCACGTGAACACAAAGCCAGGTGCAGGGGGGGGCATCCCCCACCCACCAGATGCTTAGGTGTGAGGAGGAACAAACCCCAAGATTGTCTCATTGTTCCCTTTGCTAGTTAATGTTCTTCAAAAGCAGTGTAACAATCCTTACTAGCCTAATGATGCTCTGATAATCAATAACTTCTAGAGCTCACACAAAACCCATGATGACTATCTTAAACTTTACTATTTACACAATGCTATGGAAGCTTTTAATTATAGCTTAAGCCAATTTCCTAAAGAATGTGGCCCAGTCCAAAGATCACACTGGGCCCTACAGGATGTGGCCCAGTCTAAGGTCCAGGGTGGGCCACCTTTTGGAACAATAGACTACAATCTCTTAACAAAATGGCTATTCCAAAGTCCTATATATCTATCCTAATTTCTATGAAAGTTTTCCAATTCTTAATTCTAATATATAAAGCTGATTAGTAGTAGCAAAGCTTCTAAAACCTAAATGTAAACTGTAAATGTACTAAGGCCAAAACTTCGATAGTAGAAAGTGGAGACAATGACAGTTCTAAAGTTAACTATATTCTTATTAAACCTAAAAATATTATGATTGATTATGTTTGAACTAACATGATTCGTAGCATGACCTATTCTACAATACCTTCTATGAATAAAATAAATTCAATTTCTATAACAGGTAGCAAAAAGACCTTACACTAACTGTAGCTAAAGCTGGCCTAAAAGAATGCAGCCCGGTCCAAAGTACATACTGGGCTCTCAGGAATGTGGCCCAGCCCAAACTCTGTGCTGGGCCACTCTTGACAATCATCTATACCATTGAAAAGCTGAAAACAGCTCTCCATAAGTATATACTAATTCTACAAATATTCTTTTAAATCTTATAAAGAAGCTTGTACCGTATAAAAGGCTCCCAAATGTGACCTGAGTTTGAATTATATCTAATACCTAAGCCGAAACCGCACTTTATGGGAAACAGGAACAATGGGTTTCTAGAGTGAGCCATGCCTGTCACAGTCACAGAGCCTTCAGCTTAGGCCAGCAGAGTTCCTTTAGGTTATTTGTGCTGCATGGCAAAAGGGGGAGGAAAATGGGGTCTACGGCTCCCGAACACGTCCTAGCGGTCTCGAGGTCCACGGCCCTCCCTGATCCCTAACGCTCAGTGGGCCTCCGTGGCCGGCTCCCAACAGGAGTGGAAGAAAATGGCCAATTTGGTTTAGACCTTGGAGATCCCTACAAGTGGGTATAACTTAAGGTCTAGGGGCTGGGATGCAGACAGATGAGACTCAGCTGCTGCAGCAGGATTTCTTTCCTGCACTTCTAGTGAACTTAGAGGATGGAAAAGTTAGGTTCAGCTCTTTAACCTGGTCAAATGCTCCTTAATGACTTTGAAAGTCTGCAATTCATGAACTGGATGCTGAGAATATCTATCTGCACTTCTTAGATAAATAGCCTTAGAACAGCAATGACTGAGAGGGCCCGAACAGCAGGAACCATCCTGATTTTAATACCAGGGCCTGGTGGCCATTGGCCAAGTGAAGCCAGGGCCTGAACTTATACCTTTGGGATTTTGCCTCAGGTGGCCAGCAAGGAGTAGTCACCACTGAAATTATTTTATGTCTCAAAGGTCAGGAGCATCTTTTATTCTTTATCCTGATATCAAAGAATCTTTGTTTTACAGAGATGGTTTTAGTTTTGATGAGTCACAGACACACAGATAACAGTAGGTTCACTTCAGAGCCATGATTCATCCAGCCCAGGGATCCCTCTAGAGAACTGAGACAAGAAGATGGTGTTTTGCGAGGTTGCACGGCTTGACATAAACAAGGGTTGTCTCTTTGTCCATTTAATAGATTTAACCTCTTAAAAATTGCTATGCTGGGTGTGGTGGCTCACTCCTCTAATTTCTTTTTTTTTTTTGAGTTGGAGTTTCACTCTGTCGCCCAGACTGGAGTGCAGTGGCCGCTCCCGGCCACCGCAGCCTCGACCCACTGGGCTCTGGAGATCCTTCCACCTCAGCCTTCCGAGTAACCGGAATTACAGGCGCGTGCTACCATGCCCGGCTGATTTTTGATTTATTGTAGAGATGAGGTCTCGCTGCCCAGGCGGGTCTCGAACCCACGGGCTCAGGCAATCCACTCACCTCAGCCTCCCAAAGGCACAAGATTACAGGCTGAGCCACCGAGCCCGGCACTCCTCTAATTTCAACATTCTGGGAGGCTGAGGCAGGAGGATCACTTGAGCCTAGGAGTTCAAGACCAGCCGAGGCAACATAGTGAGAACTTTCTACAAAATACAAAAAAAATTAAGCTGGACTGGTGGTGCATGCCTGTAGTCCCAGCTACGCAGGAGACTGAGGCAGAAGGATTATCTGAGCTCAGGAGGTCAAGGCTGCAGTGGGCCGTGATCATGCCACTGCATTCCAACCTGGGTGGTAGAGTACGACCCTAACCCACCCCCACCAAAAAAAGTTCGATATGATCTTTCCTAAATAACCTATTAGAGGTAATAAGTTTTATATGTACCACAAAAAATGCAAGAAATCTGTCCTTTGAGTTCAGCTGTGCTGTCTCTGCCCTAAAGCTCTTTCCTTTTAATTTCAACATGATGTTTTCAGGTGTTTTCCTGAGCTCATCAGTTATATCTTTCACAGTAATAGATAGTGACCATTTCTGCTGTGTCTATGTTGAAACAGTTCAGTGTTTTACACTCACTTATATAGGGAGCTGCTTCCCTGCCTTGGCCTTTTTTCTTCCCCAGGATGAACACACCTGTGACTGCTGTTTCTCCTGCCCTAGTCCACTTTTCACACATCCCTGTGCACCAGGCCTGGTGCTAAGTCCCTGCACTCCCCAATGAAGAAGGCATGGTTGTCAGAGCTCGACCTGGCTGTGAAGACAGACATACACGTATGGAAATCTCAACAGAGGGACAATGACGTGACATGGAAAGACCCAAGGAAACTGTGAACGGATCCCTGAATCCTCTCAGGGATAGACGGTGGGGTAAGGAAGACCCAGAGAGAAGCAAGAGGATGGAGATGAACTCACTGTTGGGAAGGAGAATGAGCAGAGCCATAGAGCCCTGTGAGGGCCCTTGTGGCCTCAGTGGGTGGTCATGTGTAGCCCTCTCCCTTCCTGAGAACAGAGATAGGTATGAGACTCAACAACAGCCAGTGGGAGCCAAGGAGAGGTCTAAGAGGTGTTTGTGGGAAAGATTTCCTCTCTCTTAAAAAGACACTCAAAGAAAGGAACATGTTCATCTTTAGTAGAAATGGCTGTGCCCGCATGTGTGACTTCGGCAGCAGCTGCAACCCTTTTTGTAATATGAAGGAAGGCAGAGTCAAAATGTGGGAAGTATCTGGGTCCTTGATGACATCTTGAGACACTGAACAAACCCTTGATCCTCTTTGCTGATATGAGAAACTTCCATTGTACAAGCCACGTTTAAAACCCGATGTAATTTTTTCAAAGTAGTTTTAGGTTCACAGAAAAATAGAGCAAAAGGTACAGAGAGTTCCCATTTGTCCCCTACCCTACTCATGCACATCCTCCCTGGTTATCAACATCCTGCACCAGAGCAGTACATTT